TGTGGGATGTGGATAGAAGGGAGTGCTACTGAAGGTTATTGGATTGACCCAGTATGTCAATGAGTCATGTTTAACGGAGCTCCAGAAATTCCTTCAGTGGAAAATCCTCAGGGTCTCCATAGTGCTGTTGATTTGGCTGAAATAAGAGGAACTTGAAGACAAGGCAGCAAGAACAACCCCATTTAGCATGCATGTTGAGTTAGAAATAGGTGGGCCTGAAGTCAGTCCAGAAGAATGGCAGTCCTAATGAGGAACTCTGGAATACACCCTGGCTTTCTTTTTCAGTGCTCTTTTAACCACATGCAGTGATTTAGCCATATCGAGAAACCTATTCCCATTCCTTGAAAGGTGGCAGATTAAGGGAGTGAAAGACTCTTGTCTGTTAAAAATGAGTCCACCAGTCCATACAAATGCTTCTCTCCTGTATCACAGATAGGAGCAGTTTCCCCAGAAGTGTGCTGATTCCATTATCCAGCTTCAAAAGTATTTATGCTTTTTCTGTTGCTGCTTTTATCATTGCAGCTAGGACTGTGTGGATTGATGCTGCCAGAAGGAGAGAAATGGGCAAAAATGTGATCCCTGAGGATCCTCTTCATGATATTGTCTGAAATGCTTGTGAGAAGCAATGGAAGTGAATGACATGGGAAAAGTTACCCCTTGCAGAAAAGCATGAGACTTCAACATTTAACTAAATGCATGTGACATATATTGTATTAATACATCAATAAATGGAAAGGGTAAATATAGAGTATGCACTACATTTTTCAAATGAATACTTGTGCATGAAGTTATATATGGTGCATATTTCTGTCTACTTTTTGATCAGATAAAGCACATGACTGAGTGATTGGATTGCAATGCAACTTATATTATTTGAAAGTCATGAAAATTCTCAATGAGACTCGTTTGAATTGATTTCAAACAAGAGTATCGCTTCTGAGCTATAAGCTTTAGATCTCGAGTATTCACTTGACAGGTGCTGAGGAGTTGTGATCCCTGCCATTGTGAGCTGAATTAACTTTCAAGGTGATTCATTTTTATTGATGTTGCCCAATTCAAGTTTTTTTCTACAGAGCAACCATATCTTAGTCTTCCCAAGTAATGAAGGTCTGTTTTTGTTCCCATCATGTCAATGATCATATTGATGCAGATGAACGAGCTGCAGCTGAGTGTTTCTCCACTGAATGAAAGGATTCAATATTTATTGTATTAGTTTCATCTTTTCATGGAACAAAAGTTTATGTTTCCCACTTGTAAACAAGGTAGATTTCATGGTACACACAGGCATGCTTTTATAGAAATGATTTGAATTGTAAATGGCCTTTCTCAGTTCCTGATTCTGTTTGCTCAGTTGCCCACTATCCTGAGAATCATGTAAAATGTGACAGGATGATTTCTAAGTGCAATTTTACATAGAATTTGCTTCGAAAACAGACTTCCTTAAACTTCCTCTTGGATGCAGTGCTCATGCACCCAACCTCGTCGTCCCCTCTTGCTTTACAGGATGTAGTCGGTATATAAATCTGTCAATTGACTCAGACCTTACTATGCTAAGCATCAGTGATCTAACTACAAATGAAAGGACTGAAGTTTATTACGCTATTTATTAGTTTTTTTATGTTCCCCAAGTGGATTCCCTCAAGGATTTTGAGGTTAACATGGGGGAAGTGCACAATGGGGTTGCCCATTGATTACGGCAACAAGAACTTAATGTTCACTTGGGAATTTTGTATGAGGATAGAGTGTTTACTTCCCTTTTCTAATTGTTGCTGTCATTATTTTAGCATTACAATTAAAGATAAACCTGAAATGTAATCCCATGAGTAAACGGTTTTCTCAAAATCACAAAAAAGTCCATCATTCTAAGATGCTCCATCCCATTCCTTGAAGTGACATACTCTCCAGACTAAGATGAAGTGATGGAACTGAATGCCCAATAAATATTGTAGCAACTGCAGTTTATTCTTGGCTAACTTTAACGATGAAAACCAAAGTATGATGTCATCAGGATTTTTTGCTATTATTGAGAAAGCGATCTTTCATGATGCACCCTTGACACAGCACCTTCAATTCTACAATTTGATCTTTCTACATAACCACATGCCTTGGTACCTTTCACTTCCTCCTCGTGGCAGTGTTTTTTCCAAACTTAAAACATGCTGTGGAACCTACTTGCCACTACGTGGGAAGAACCATTAGAATAGCAAGGATAATATTGAAATGTGGGTCTAAAATAAGAGCCCAAGCAGCTACTTCAGATATTCTTGCCTAAGGTGTAATTGCCACTAATCACAAGACAAATCATGAATTATGCTGCATCAGGGGTAATCTAAGTTTTGTTGTCCCTCTTGCATGGATTTTCACCTATATACCATGTGAGTTGAAGTTCATACTGAGCTCTGCTGAGATTGATCGGATCTATACTTTTCTTTTGCCTGAACACATTTCAGAATGACTTGGATGGCATACAGCCAGTCAAGTTAAAGGGCTCAATGCCCGACTCACATCGAGATCAGGTCACTGCCGAGGATCAGAAGGAAAACTTAGCCATGGTACCTGCCTCATTATTTTTTTCTTTTAAACCTAAAGGAAACTACTTCTCCTCTTTCTTTGGATTGCCACTACCTTTTTGCCCTGGGAAATCCTTTAAACACTAGCATTCATTCAGTTTATTATTATACTATGGTATGGTCGCGCCTTCGGCGCTCCATTCATTCGAATAGTGATCAATTCATTTATACTTTGCGAAATTGCAAACACGTATTTTACGTACGACTCCATTAAAATACGTGACATATGGGGACGAAATTCTTCATTTTTATCAAAACCATTACTTCGATTATTTCTAGTGGGCCTAATTTGAAATCGTTTGATATTTCCCTTTTTGTAATGGTAGAGAATACATTTTTAAATACTTCCCTCCTATAATCTACGCTAAGGGGACATATTTCACATGTAGAATTTTCCTGCACTCAGCAATCAAACAGGTACTTCCGAGGGAATTTTAAATTTACTATCTTTTTTTCGTTGGGTCAAAAAAATTCAGAAAATGGGATTGTAAGAAAGTGCCCTGATTGGTTTTAACGAAAACAGTATTTCTACTGAAATGTAGACTCATGGAACTCCATGCCAACCAGTTTCAGCCTAATACGTTTCTTCTTTTTGTTGGCGGAAAAAAATGTATTTAGAGAAGCGAAAAACCCAATAGCTGTGCTCTGAGGAGACGCACACCAAAAGCTGAATTTTTCCTTAAATCAACATCACGTCCCTAATGCCTGCGCCGGCACCACCTTTTATAATTCTGCCCGATTCGCTGGGATATGAAAAATTCTGTGAAAACTTTACGTCGCCAAGAACTTTGTCCCCCACCCACAAAAAAAATATTTTTCTCAGTGAACTACATGCCACAAAGTTTCAATATTATACGTTTGCCCTTTTCACTGGTGAAAAATCATGTTTGGAACAGCCGACCCACCCAAAAGCTATGCCCGGAGGGTATGCACAATGAAAGCTGAATATTCCTTCAACTCAATAATATCATGTCACTTATCCGTGTGCGAAGTTTCACCTTTCCAATTCTGTCCAATTCGCCAAGACAATTTCTTTTTTTTTTAAGCATCGCCCCTCGAGAAATTTTCCCCCGGGGATGTATTTTTTTTTCTGCACACAGCATCCCGGTAGGTAATTATGTACCAAGTTTCATCTTTCCACACTAGCTCTATACACCAGGACAAAAAAAAATACTTGAAAACGTCAGCCCCAAAAATATGCCCCCAGGGCTTGGATCTAAAATTTTGCATTTCTCCTGTACTCATCGTGTCAGTAGGAACGTCCATGCCACGTTTCAGCTTTCCATGTCTCTCCGTTTTATTGAAGCAATGAGACATGGAAGGGAAGAGAGAAAAAAAAAGCCTGGACTGGTTAGGAATTGAACCCTGGCCTCACGATTACCGGTCCGATGTGCTACCACTACACCACCCAACCGGTGATATACAATGCCTTCTTTTGATGACATCCTTATCCATCACGATATATATTTTTAAAAAACTTTCTCCCACCCAAATTGTCTACACCCAGGTCATGTACCTCCAAAGTCGGAGTTTTTCTGAACTCTGCACCCCAAAAGGTAGATGTGTACCAAGTTTCAGATTTCTAACCTTTCTGAAACATAGTTAGAATTAGCGTCAGTCAGTCAGTCACGATCGTCTATATATATTAGATATTGCATATAATGGAAAGAAGAAAGACACTGCTGCAAAATGCTTATATTCAGATTTGAAATATATTAAAGGATGACTTAAGAAAAATTGATTGAATTTCGGTTACGAAATATCGGCCTCCTGAAAAATAAAGCATTTTGTAGCTGTGTCTTTCTCCTTTCCATTATATGCAAGCAGAGAAAATATTCTTGAAAGCATCACGCCTAAAATGCGAGTTGGAAAGAGTGCCCTATTTTGAGGCACCCTGTACTGATTTTTTTCTCGTCCCTTGGACGCTTCTCTCTTTTTCTTTTTCTTTTCTTTTTTTATTATCAAAGGCTCCGCGTTCAATTCCCCCCTCCTGAGAGTCCTATTGGCGCGTCGCCGCTCTCCCCCCCACCTTGTCTTCTCTCTTCATTTTTTTTGGGGAGACTTTTTGGGACGCTCCACATTCTATGTGCTGATTTTTTTTAAAGGTGGTCTTCAACTTTCATCCAGTTGGACATACTCATGAGGATATTGACCAACTCTTCAGCTCAGTGAACCATTATCTGAGGGCTAGAGACACCTGCACAGTAAATGGTAATTTTCTTTCTATGCCTAGTTTGTCGCTTTGGCTTGATTCTGAATGCCACATAAAAAATTAAATTTATATTTCTGTTCAATTACAGATTTGATTACGTGTCTGCAAGAGATTAGAAGAAGAGGGAGACCTGAAAATCTTCATGCTGAAGAATAGAATGCCGTCCACAAATTCAAGACTGTCATACAGGATCATTTTCCACGTCATTTTCGTGGACAGACCAAACCTCATTCATTCAGATTCAAGAAATCCAAAGGAATCACATAAATGCGCATTCGAATCCATGCTGGAGAAGCCTGGTGCCCCAAGGAGCATGATATTCAATACATCAGGGAGTGCCTTGGCCCAGACCTTGGATATGTATGTCTACAGGTAAGGATAGTGCAATGACTGACTAATATCCCTAGTTGAGGTCATTAAGCATCCCTGACATAAAATTTGTGTAAAATTAAATTGGATTGGACTGGTTTTAGTTTTATAACTTCAAGCGGTTCCTAATATGAAATGTCACTTTTGCAGAAGGAGTGTAGTTGTAGAAACCTTTCTCAGGCTTGGAGTTGCTCATGAAATTAACTAGGAACGTGTGGAATGCCTTTCCCCCTTTACACTTCTTGATTCATTTCCACCTCCCAGACGACTCCAGTACTCAATGCATTCAGTGTTCTAGTGCCTCCTGATTGGAATGCAGCTGGACTGGAGGTGGTGAAAGCACCCATCCCAAATTACTTTCCAGAAATGTCTGAAGACAAAGTCCACGCTTGGCATGTGTTTTCTCCAGCCACCCAGCATTCCATGGTAATGGCGGTTGTATGCAACCTCAAGTAACGTTTATTAGCAAGTGACTTATGGAATTAAACTACCAGATATGCATCGGTCTATCCCCAGGAACCAGTATTGTACTTTCAAAAGCTGACAGACTACAAGAACACTTCAACTGAATTCACTGCCGGCATAACTCCAACCATGCAATCCTACCTGGCGAACCGGACCATTGCAACAGGTGAGAATATTTTTCCTAACGTTAGAGGCATCCACATTGCACTTGAACGTTTTCAAATAGTCGATCATTCTTGCAAGGTTAACTGCAGACTTAATTTCCTGTATGCACTCCACAGCCCATCATCGGTTCCATTGGCAGTCGGAGACTGGGTATATGTGCTGGGACCAACGACCTTCATCCGGGGATGTTGGCCGTCGTCTATACAGAGGAGAAAACGTGACGGCCATGGATGGGAAAGATGACCTCCGTAGAAGAGAAAGAAGTGACCATCCACTGGTATCAGGGGACTTATGAGAAATCTTGGAACTAAATGACTGGAGTTGAAAGCCTTTCATCCGTTCCCCGAGAATCACTCCTCTTATGGGGGGGATTCACTCTAACAGACAAGAGGCAGCTCCTAAGGAGCAAAACGAGGGAAGAATTAAAGCGGCTTCATCAAGAGACTGACCAAATAATGTAACGTGAACCAGAGACTTCAGAAAAAAACTAGGTACGTGCTTTGTATTAATGCAACCTTATATACAGGTCCAGCCCAACCATTCAACATAATGTTAATTCCAATATTGATTTATCTCGAATCAAAATATCATGAGTGGTGTTTGTTCACTGGGACAATACCATTCTTGATATTTCACGCAGCTCATTGCAATGATCTTAAATGAATTCTCTTCATCCTGCAGGAATGATTGACGACAAGCTTGGATACGTCGGATGTAGACAGCAAAAAGCACCCGACTAGGACACATCAACCATCAACGTAGCCGGAATTTGATTCAACCCTGATGGTCAAGGCTTCATAACACAAGATACGTTGCTTAGATTTAAGTTTTTTATCTTTTTTTTATTCCTGTAAGCGCAGGAGAGAGGAATGTTACTTCGACAAAATTGGGTTTAAAAAATTGAATGTTGCACCAATCCAGAAGCGAAAAGTTTCTTCTCCTAAACTTTTGTTCTAAGGAGGACCATTTTTCGACGCTTGATGTACTACAATTTCGTAAATATTTGTTCATTTACCAGCATGCCAATTTTTTTTTATTTCCATATTAGGATAATGAAAATATGAAAAATATGAACATATGAAACTGAGCTGACCTGTCCTAAACTGATTTTCATGCGAATGAATTATTGAGGTTCTAACTTCTTTCCCTTTTGTGCAGCGTCTCCAGGCCCTTTGGACGATGGCGGCGGGATCTTACGAGGCCGATCGTCCAATGGATGAATATTGGGCTCCCCTCATCCTTCGATTCTGTGCAAACTGTGTTTTTGTCTACTGAGTGGGGGATTTCCTGTTTTTTTTTTTTGCAACCCTTATCTTGTAAACGCATATGTTCAATAAAATCCTTGTCTTGCAAGAAGGGGGGATTGTATATTAATTGGTTGATCCTTGCATTATACACGTATTTCATTGTGAGACTGATATTTTTACCAATCAATTTTTATCATTCAATGTGTTGGGTAACATGCGACAATTAAGACTTTGAAGTGTGTCATTTTATTTCTGCAGTCATTCCGTGTTTCCCCGCATAGGATGAGACTCGAGCCACTGGGCTCCATAGTGAGAAGTAAGAGAAATTGAATTTGCAAATGCACTTGCGCGTCCTCGATGCGCATTGCTCTTCAGAGGTTGGGAAATGGGCCAAATGGCTAGTTTCCCATGGAGTGTGTAAGCATGCGCACGCTGTTCAACCTACAGGATGGGAATGCGGCCAAACGGCTGAAACCCCATCGTGTAAACACATTGGTCTTGCTTTTCGTCCCTTGACCTTCACGCTCTGAGCCGTGCGTCGCACATCCTGGAAGGTTTGGGTCAGGCATGTCAATCCTTAATATTAATAATATCCATACGAATTAAAGTCAAGTTATTTATAATAAAGGCCTGATGGAACGAGAATGACCCAAATTCTAGTCCCATACGAAGTTCGTGAATTCCCCGACGAATTGGCAGCTTGATGTTTTCTGGGATATATGCCACAGGAGTAGATTCACTTTTGTCTCTGACACCGCTCATTGGTATAAGTCGGACAAATGTGCAGCCCTTTTGTGACCAAATCTTTAATTGAACAAGCAAAATGGGGTGTCTCTTGTCATTCATTATCTGCCTAGAAGTGTCCTTTTTCCCTTCAAGGGATGTTCTGGTTTATATTGCAAAACCTGAAAAAGAAACATAACGAATGTAGCAGCTTATGTAAATTGGGGCAGACAGGGTTTGGTCCCTGTCTAAACCTACGGCAAACCGCAGGGAACGAAATGCTCTGTTGCCGTGGAAGAAGTCGCCATGTTCTTCGGAGACTACTGCCCAAGTAGCACCTGAACGTGTTCAATGAACGTAGAACGTAGGATAAACACCCCAGTTTCTGGCCAGTCTCCAGTTGACCAGTTGACCAGTGAGGCTTAAATGCAGCATAATTAATTCATCTGGCCGTCTTCAAGCATTCTATGAAATATCAACATCTTTCCGAACGAGTACCTATTACTAGTGTTTCCTATTACTAGTGTGCGCGCAAGGTGTCCGTTTCCTATAGGAGTCGTATTAGCGTGGCGAAAAACTGTGGTGTTTACCCTAGTAGGGAAGTGCTATCTCCCCTTTATTTGTAGAGAAGTGTGTGATAAAAGATATAAGATACAACGAAAGCTTTCATATCTGTCTGGAGTAACCTCGTATTTAGGAGTCAGGCTCAGAACACTGAATTTCCATTTCATGTGAACGATGATATCCTTTTCGTCTTTCCATTTACGTTTTCATTTTCACGAAGTCCATTTGGAAATTGAACCATCCTCGATCTTACGAGGCAGAGTTTTCTGGAGTCTCATTGGACTGGGTTACCTCTAAAGACCTTTTTGTTGAAAAATTCGAATATTTTCCCTTCTTGCTGATGTGGGGAAATATCAGCTACCATGTGGAATGCATTAGGACTAATTCCACTGCATGAGGAATTGACGTGCTATTGGGAATAATTTCACGTTATATAGCGCCAGCTGTGCGAACCATTGGAGCAAGCTATTTTCAGATGGATACCATCGATATGCTTCAGGAAAACATATTTTTAACGTTCCATGCATGGACTTCAGATGCTTCATGTTTTGCAATCGAACGGTACCTTAACCGAGGGCCCAAAAGGATCACCTGAGCTGGATTGCCTCAACTTCCTGTGTCTGGCATGTCTCAAATGTAACTGGATTGTGACAGAATGTGATGAGGACTTCTAAACGATATTAATGAGAAATAATGAAACTTCCTTTCCTCTCGGAACCACCCTCGTCCAAATGTTTAGGTTCAAGGTTCTGGCACGGACGTCAAGGTACTTATTACCATTGGAGCATCCTGTGTTAAGGTTAGGCGAAAATATTAAAAAATGCATGCCTAAGCTTCGCAAAAGTTGATAGTCTTGTTGGAGTGTTTGCCTAATTAACTTGTTATATGCAATTACACTGTAAATTGCTCCCGTTTATGCTCTGTACATGAAGGCAACTGTCGTATTATTGATACCAGTCACGGAAGGATAGCTACGGTATTATCACGTAATGCATTCCGCATATTCAATGTCTTAATAGGGAAAGAAAAACAATTTCTCGATATGGACTTCTTTGGAGCTCTCCCTATTCATGCTGTGGTTATTGAGTTGCACAAGGACACAACGCTAAGTCCCATGTCCTCCCTAACTAATAGGGTTTGTCCACACCAAGTGGTCCACGGATTTTTTCAGGAAATTTTCCTAATCATGCAAATTTTACTTTTGCTACAGAAGTTCGCAGTCATGATTGTGATGTGTTATTTATACCATTCTCATGATACTCAAAAATGGGATGAAATGCAAATCTGGAGAGACTGAATTTGACTACTGGAACAGATGCCAGTATGGGCTTTCCATGCATACTGATGATTTCAAATCACCTCTGGTGTGAAGAGTAGATGTCAATTGTTCACATTTGAATGATATCTTTAAAATAAAATTAAAAGATATGTACAGACTTTCCGTTTCAAAATATATTTTCAGAACTTGTCACATCCAACACTCTCCTGTCACATCCGACACCGTCACGAAATAGGTTTACTTTATGTTTCAAATGTTGTTCTCTTGGGGTCACTTACATTAATTTCAGGCTTGCATTCAATCTCTAAAATGAACATAACGTAAATTACTAGGGTCAGCCAGATGACAGATATGTGAACATTAGAGCAATTGACTTCAACTTGAGGGTTTGCAATGTCACGCCTGACACTTTGCTTTGCACATAGGTACACCTCTAACAAAAGAGAGAGTTCAAGACTTCAGATTATGGAGTTTTCCTTCACTACACAAAGAAAATTGTTGCTGCCTGCATATGCTGATTTGTCATACATAGTATATTTAAATTCATTTTGTGTACTAAACATATTACTCCGGATGTCATGTTCGACACCGAGGACAGACCCATTACTAAAGGCCTGGATTAGATCCCACCTCGTTACCCTTCTATTAATTAAGGACCAATTCAACGTTTTCTGAAACTCATTCTTTTTCTGCTAATTTACCAACCCTCTTCCGAAGCTTCTCGTTCACCGTCTGGCAGATATTCTTTTTCCACGAAGTGAGTTGAACCAAAAGTGGCTATAGGTGTCAGGAGATAACATTTGCTAAGGAGGAACATGAACGGGCGGAAAGAAGTTTTCATGAAAAGGAACTGTTCCTTGAAACGAAAAATGAGCGTACCCTTAATTAGTGCATATTCATCTGTCCCACCATGCCATTCTAGGAAATGCAAGTGCACTGACACTATTTTATCTTATCGTTGTCTTCCCTATCATGACGTTAACACAATGAGGAAGCATTGACGTCATTACTTATAAAAACGACCTCACAGTCATGACCATCTATTTACGTACTAATCTTGCTTCTAGTGAAAAGTGTCTACGTGACTTGTTCTTCATCTATTGGTGTACGTCAGGCCAATTCCATGGATGAGATTTTCACGAAAAAACTGCATCGGCTGAAGTCCATTCTCAGCGACAAGTATGTGGTGGTGGATGAAATGGAGTTTATAGATGAGCTGTTTGCCGAAGGTCTCATTGCGCCTAGGGAAGAAAAAGAGCTGAAGAGGAAGCGTAAGTACATTGAAAGAATAGATGGGGCTCTTCACTGCATTCTCCGTCTTGATCCTCGGTCAACTTACAATATAGTTAAAAAGGTTCTGGAGAAAATGAAGAGAGGAGACATCGTGAAGAAACTTGAAGAAAGTCATGGTGAGTGCTGTGAATCATAAACATGCATTTCAACCCCTAATTTCCCATTGACGCTTTTGCAAGGAAGAATGTATGAGGGATCTCTATTCCAAGTAGACAATGCTTTAAGAGTCTTCCCATTGTCATTAGACGGGAGGAAGATGCAATTCCTGTTTCTTGAAGGAAGTTCGGCTGTGGCAAACACTTCCAGCGTTATTGAATCATGCTTAAATTCTTCATTGTAAATGTACCTTTAAACTAATCTGTGTACATGTTGAAATGTCTCAATACAAACGTGCATGCAATCTCTTTCTGAGTGCTTCACGTTTCAGTCCATCCTCTCTTTTGGTAAATGTGGCTGTAGAAAAAAAAGACAAAACGCGCAACACAAGATAGAATAAAACTATTGATAGCAAATTGATAGCAAACCCACTTCTTTAAAATATAGACATGAAATTCTCAATGATTCAATGTAAATAAGTGTTTTTTGTTCACCTATGAAATCCTTCTTCGTATTGTCTCGAACTATAATCGAGACTTGGTAACTGAGGTGGGAAAAAGTCGACTGCAGCATTAGAAATAACCTAATGTATATATCGCCTTCAAGAGACGAAACCGACTTCGAATTAGGCTTTCAGATTCATAAAAATACATATTTACTGCTTCATACTCTCGCACACATCGCCAAAAAGTTGTCAGACGGGAAACTATTCAGAAATCTTGGGCAAATTGATGCCAAGGTTTGCAAGAGCACTTTGAGATATAATGCATCTTATAGATTAAATGGCGTAGGTTCCGGGAGAGGAAATCTTTCTAGGACAGGGATAGTACGATAACTCCCTTTAAAGGGCGTTATCATGCTAATCGTCCAATGCTAACCCCCCAAAAGACTTTACTTATAAAATGTGGAACATCAATATACAATAACGGGCGGGAATAATCGAGTATAGTCTTGAGGAAATTTGGTGAAATGATACAGAGAAAAACTTGCTGAAAGCGTCTCGGACAATGCCAAATTCTTACTCCTCATTTATTCAGCCACTATGATACTTGACCATTTTAGGAGTGAAATTG